TTGTGTATCGTTGATATTACTGTGTTACCAATTTGAAGCATAAGATCTAARTTATTAATTCTGTCAGCATTTTTCAAATGGTGTTAATGTTGCTTTTAACTAGTCCCGTCTTATGCACAGAAACGCATACCGTTCTTCAGGTCAACACAACATAACTCAGATTTTCTTTTGTGTCCCTTGCAAGCATGAAATATTTCCCCATTTCTCAGTAAATTCTGTAGCAGAAATCCATAAAACTGTAAAGGGYTTTTTAAATTTTTTTCTCTTTGATTTACTACTTGACTTTTCATTACGCGTATAGTTTTTAATCTCTCCTCAGATACCAAAAGGTGTCTTCAACTGCTTGTGTTATGAGGGTATTCAAAACGGTAGACAGTGTAGCATGGGACAGCTAAAAGCCGTAAGTCAAGCCTATTTCGCTAGGCCAGGTGAGGATACGCACAGTGAAGCTGCCTCCTCCGCATTTCAGAAGGCTGTTCAGATGTTAGTTCAGAGGCAGTTTCAAAAATATTTGATGTTTTTCTTTTTTTCTTTTTYTTTTTTTTTTTTTTTTTCTGGAAATAGCCTCAGAATTCTTCCAGGAGCTGAACTGAGGCTTAAAATAGAAGCACCTAAAGAACATCAGATGTCTAGCTGCATAAAGAGGAGCTGCTAAAGTGAGATTAACATGCAAGTGCTTGGTTACCTCAAGGTGATTTTATAGTGTTTATCAAATCTTGGAAGTGCAGTGAGAACAATGATGTTTCTAAATGAACTCAAGGAAAAAAAAAAGGCATTTTTTCAGCTAATATTTGGTGTGCTTAGCTGTCATACCACCAGGGCTCTTGGCTAAACCTCCTTTTTGCTTTGCAMATGTGTCCTGAGGAATGTAATGGGCTGTATCAAATGTGTTATAGAATCACTTTCAGCTTGAGAACCTCCCGAGGCCACTGGACGTTTCAAGAGGGAGATGACCCTGTCAGTCAGGGATACCTGAACCCAGGTAAATACATCTTAGTGGTTATTTCTCCCTCCTTCCTTGTCCTGCCCAACTTCTCCTCTTCCTTCTCCTTGCCCTCCTGTCTCCCTGCCCCAAAAAATAATTAAAAAAAAAAAAAGGGGCATCTAGTTAAATTTGAAAACATTTATGAAAAAACGAAACATCACAAGCATCAGTGATTCAGTGATTTTGTTRCAGCACAGTTTCAGACTGTAATGTTGAGAGTTTAGAATCAAATTGCTTGGCTGGACTCCCTATCCTTCTTCTYGGAGGCAATATTTGGAATACTTATTCCTTTAATTTGTTATTTTTACTTAGACTTTTACACCAGTTAGAGAATTTTACACCAGTTCTGTGCTTTAGTTATAGAATAGCCTAAGTTTAAATGCTTCAGGGCTGAGAGATGATAACTTAGGTTTACGTGATGACTTTCCCAGCAAGGCAGAGAGTTTTGACAGACTGAGAAAACTTGCTTAATTTATGATATTGACTGGCATGTATAACTGAAAATATGTGTCCACAAATCCAGTATTTCTAGCATAAAAAAAAATATTGCCTCCTACTAGAGATATTTAGAGTTTAGAAGAGTTGCRGTGAATTAGGTGGAAAAGTTTCTACTAATTACTTCTATAGAATGATTGACCTTTAGGAAATCAGGAAAGGAATATGTATTAGTAATATTTAATATATATATTAAAATGTCAGTATTTCTGTTGTTAACCAGTAATTTTCTTCAGTAATGGAGTTTATTCTCACTTAATGCAAGTCTTTAGCAGTGAAGTATGTAGCTTGCTCTGGCTGGCCAGAATAAATGGTTTGTATTTCATTGTAAGTCCTTCTCATGTACATTCATTTCTCACTGGCAGTGGGAGACTCTCCCTRCTGCATAGGAAGGGATCTTACCACTGTCCTTATGACACTGGCTTCTTTCTGGAGCCCTTCTCCCTGGCCTTATTTAGTGGACTACAGGAGAACTCTCAAAAATGTATTTTATTCTTGGTTTGTGAAGAAAAYCCTTCCTCTCCGATCAGCAGGTATTTGAATAGCATTAACTCGAGCATTCTTCTAGCTTTTTTTTTGCATTGTATTTTTGTGTTGTCGTTGGAATTTGCCACAGTGTCAGCGTGGCACTATGAATACACCCGTGCAACTTGTACCCTGGAAGAATTCCCATCTTTTGAAGTATGACTCGACCAAGAAGATGGTCAAATAGTTTTCGGAGGTGAGTAAAACTGTACTTTTCATGAACACCATGGGATTTCAGTTATTCATCTCTTAACTACCCATTTCCTTCCACTGAAAGTGCAGTGTGAAATTTCATATATACATCCATTATCTTACATAAATAGATTCCATTATCTTACATAAATAGATTCTTGTGCATTTTGGCTTGTAAGAGTAAGGTAAATTCATCTTAGATGTATTTACACCATTGTAACTTCACAGCAGAACAAAACCAATACACTTTATACCTGTCCTGCTCTTCCTAACATCAGATCTAGGTGTCACATAGCTAGTATGAAGTGATGCACATTAACCAGTACATAAAAGTACCCCTAAAACTCCCTGTGTTCATCCTAACTAGATATAAACTGAAAGACTTGTTTATTTGCACAAAACTCAGCAGCCAAGTATTGCAGCACTGACCTTGGATTTCCCTTTTCCCTGTTTCCTCTTCCACAGTTATTCTGGTGTGTGGTGCTGTGCTGTAGGTGTTTAATAGAAATAATCCAAAAAGTTTCCTAGGTGAGATGGAAGTTCTTCCAACCAACAACTGATCTCTGCTGAAATTGCTTAGTATTTAATGGTGCAGTTTTACAAATGTTTGAGTTTGCCAGTTCAAGAAACAGGCCTTTCTCATGCAAGCATTTATTTTGCTAGAACTGTAGTCTGTGCTGTGAACTGACGTAGCTCAAGGACTTAATGATGAGTGGGGAGAGGCCAGAATCCTGCTTTTGTGTTCATTCATAGAACCGTAGTCTCCAGAAGATACTACAGGAGAGTGACTCCACATAACAAATAACCTAATAGTGAATCCCTGGCTCAGCATGGGACTTTCTAGAAAAGCTAGGCTGAGTTTACAAGCAGTTACAGGTCTGAGCCCATCTCCTGTGTGACAAGGCCTTCTGGAAGGACCGGGCCCTCTCTCGCTCGTACCAGGAGGGCAACTGGTGCTCGGCTCGCTGCAGGATCCCGCTCTCTGCCTGGCCTTTCCCTAGGGTGGGTCTGGAGAAGACACGCGGGCTCCGCGCGCTCGTGGAGGTGCTTGGTCAGCTCGTCTTCCCAACAGCATGCTCAGCACAAGAACAGTAAGTGGGCTTTCTTTGAGAGCCCAGTGCTCCTCACTTCAGAGTTTGGGAAGTCAGGCAAGTAAGGTCATCTAATGCTTTTAAAGTAAACAGACATGTGAAGACAACTCTGAAAATCCTAGATTGCAGTAAACGATTCCAAGGGAATTTTGCACGTACAGGCAAAGGAGCACAAAAGAAAAAGAAATTTCACGACACAGTCTTTCTGTCCTGTGCCCACAAATCCTAAATTTGCTAAACATGAGAACTGGGGACAGAATGGAAGCAGTATTTGGGTAGGGCGAAGGTGGTAGTGTCTGCTTTTAAGAGAGCACTTGTAGTGAATTGTACCTTTTCATTTTAACCTCCTGGTCCTCTGTAATTTCACTGCCACTGGAATGAGTGAACCCTTTCAGAGGAAGGATACAGTAAGGATAATTTTAAATTACATCTGTGCTGTCTGTCATAACTACTTTTAGGTTGCAGTACAATGGAGTATGAATTTAATATCTCTTTAACCATTCTGTATTTCTTAAAATGCATCAAACAGAAGAAATTAATGCAGGACAGATGACAAAGATACTAGTTGCAGCTTCTTTCTCATATTAAAAATTGCATATGTTTTGGATAGCAAGCTGGACCTGGCAGTAGATACGGTTGAGTTGTGAAGCTGTGAGCTTTGCTCTTGCTGTTATCGGGATGGGGGGGCTGGCTAATTCACACTGATTCTCTGTTGGCAGATGGAAATGAGATGCTGATGCCTGTGTGCGTTGAGGACTGCCTATAAGCAAGAGGACCAGGAGGAGGTGTGGGACGGGCAAGGCCACACTGATTTGCTTCACACAGACCTTTTATTTGATCTGTAGAGCCTTTGCTTGCGTGTTAGGTAGCAGTAAATCTTCTCTATTCCGAACTGAGATAGCAAGATCTTTGGCTAGAAAAAAAATCAAATTTTAATACCGAAAGACTGGGCATGGCTGACCATAATAAAACTCCTTGATGAAAATGGAGTTGTAGTATGTGATTGAACATGGCCTCTGTGTTCATTTTAGTCGTATGGTTCCTTCCTGTCATCTTAACGGTTYGGCCAGTGCAGGTGTGTTGCTACTGTATTGAACATGATGGGTGACCTAGAATGAAAGGAAACGCAAAAGCCTACAGCTTTGTAAATTGATTATGCTGTCCATTATTTGTATAAATAAAAGAGGATGTTTTGGAAAAGGTCCTTGAGTAATTAGGAACCAGAAGTTAACCTCCAAACAAGTTTTCATTTAATGCCTTTACTATGTAAACACATGGTCCCTCTTGCATCCCTACTAATAATATTTTAGCTTTTGTTTTATACTCTGAAATCTCATATTCTCTGAAGGATATTCATGATGCCCTATGAATTGAGTTGTCTGGTAAGTTACCTGTCTTTATACCACTAAAGAAAACTGCTTGCAGGCTTTTTTCTTTTTTTTTTTTTTCTACTTCTTAAATATGCATTTCATTCCCAGCACTGCATTTATGGCCACTCTAGTGTTACAGTCTCAGCAGGAACACTGTTGGGCTAAAATCAGGTTGTAGCATCAAATAAATCATATCCTACATATGGTTTTGAATTTGYGGAAAACTTTGTTTATCACTGCTCACATCAAAATTAATTTTGGCTGAATGCTTTTTGAATTAAAATAGGGAGAGTTTTTTATGAAGTTTTTTTAATGCTTCTTAGTCTAATGCACAAATTTAAATTGTATCCTCATTTAAGAAATTTTTGCATTTTGGTACTGTGCTGTAGCAAGAAAGCCTGTGTAGTGCTGCTCACCTCAGACTTCTGCTAGCTGATGGGCATTCTGGAATGACTGAGGACTCTTCAATGTTCCTTTTACAACCTCAATTAAAAAGTACTTAATAGGAAAAGAAATGACTATAAAAGATTATAGCAATCTCTGGTTTGTTTCAGCATTTGCTGTTGTGTCTTAAAAAAATATTTAAAAATATTTTTCCCTAGGTGTTTTCCAGGTTTCCTGGACTTAGCCTGCATCCCTTTTAACAGTGATTGTGGTTCATCTTGCACTGCAATCGGAAGACATTTTGCGACTGGTAACTGGTGTGCTCCTTGCAAACATTATAGAGAAAATACCCTGTTGAATATGGAACTGAATGATATCGCTGTTTCCCCCAAGTTTGTCTACTTTTAACTGAAAGAGGGTGGGAAGTTTTTTTTTTTGGATGTGGAAGTATTAGTAAATTTTCATAGCATCGTAGGATCGTTATGGTTGGAAAAGCCCTTCAAGATCATGGAATTCAACTGTAAATTTTGAATGAAACAGGGCAAAAGAATAGAGTATAGAAAACAGTACACAMATTTATCACACCGTAATATATAGGYGGTTGTGAGAAGGCATGTCTCAAGTGATGCTGTTACTGTGGGATGTGATAAGGGTTACCTGAGGGAGCCTGCATGGGACTGTTGAGGTCCCACAGSAGCCGTGGCTGGCTGCACTGCATTATTATGAGTTTGGGGTCTGATAAACCTTTATTTTGTCAGGTCATTCACAAAGTGTCTAAGCTGTTCCCTGCTTAGGTCAGGCCTTGAAAGCAATGTGAACAATGTCCTGCATCTGCACAGTGGGGTGGTGTTTGTTGTTTTGTTTTCTCCAATCAGAGGGCTGGCTATACATAAATTAATTCCTGGTTCTACATCTGTGGAGATACTTGAAACCATTTTCCTTGTTTTCTGAAATTCTGCRACCGTTTTCCATGTTTTCTGAAATTCCACTCTAATCCAGTTCCTAGGATTAGAGGACCTGTACCGTGTCATAAGACCTTTCTCCTGTCTGAAATTTTTATTATTTCACCTCTGGTCTGTCTTTAGATGCTGAACACTGCTGTGATGGACGGTAAAGTTTGGCCTTGCAGTATGTATGCTGATGGCAAGTACTCATATCAAATTTCTGTAATCTGACATGTCTGAGGAGGTCCTTGTGCTTTTTGGCTGTGTTTTCCTCTGCTTTTTAATTTTTCAGTATTGATAAAAATGTTTACCTTTAATTATAGGATATCTAAGAGCTGCTCTGCAGCAAAGAAGGCGAGTTTAGGAGTGGTGGGGACAACCATAGTTAATTCCATAGTTAATGTCCATAGTTAATTCGTCTGGACTTTCTCTAATATATTCATTAAAGATTTCTTATATCTTGGAATGATCAGGTCATGACAAGAGCTAAAAATAGAGCTCACTTTTAGCATTGGGGAGAAAAAGACACCGATCTACAAATCAGATTTTTAGCCTTTTCCTCTTAGTGCTCTCAGCCCTTTGTTTGCCTCTGCAACTATTCAGTTGTATATTTTCCTAATTGAGAATTAATGTCCACATAAGGCTTGTTGCTGGAAAGTATTTGTCACTAGTGCTCATTTCTTTATATATAGAGAGTTTGGACAACTATCATCCTAGTTGATAAGGAGAAGATGCTTTCTATTAACTGTGCTTTGAAGACAGGTTCAGAGATTCCCATTTTCAATCAAATTTGGCATTTGTTCTGAAGCCTAACGGAAGCCTTAGCTAATACATATCTCGATTCTCTGATTTAGGGTGTAAAGGACTTCTTGCCTTTGAATCTTGTTTTGACAGATGTTTAAGTCCCTGGATTTCTGACTTGGATAGTAACATGGCAAATAGTCTCAGGTATGCTTTGCTAGATGGAATTACGTGCAGAAGGAAGATGCATTGTTGATGGGGTGTTGCAGCATAAAAACTTGAACACTGAAGGAACTTGAATCTGTTTTTTTTTTTTTTTTAGAAAGTACTAACAAGTACTGCTACTGATGCCATAAAAAAAGAAAAAAAGTGATGTAGACATTGTTCTGTATGAAATTCATTTTAACTCTTATTAAAACTTCATATGCGCTCTATACTTTTGCAGTAAATGTCAAAAAAAAAAAAAAAAATTAACTGTCTTTTCCCAGAAAAGCTCCAGCATCTGCCTGTCGTGGCATGTGATTTGAGGAGTGAGGAGAGAAATATCAAAAATTCAGGTGGGTGTAGTACATGTTTTTGCAGTCTTGTCCCTTGTTCTATACAGTGTACTGGAAACTGAGCATTCATTGTATAATTTGTTTTATACTGGTCCTCTTGTAATGTCCAGTTTTTCTAATAAACATCTTTTGAAGTCATTGCTTTGTGGCTGATTTCAAAGGCTCTCAGCGTTCTCATATGTTGTTTCTTCCAAGTGACAGCGAAGAGAAACTTGAAACTATTTCATTTGGGTGGGAGTTTTTGTTAGGTCAAAATGCAGAATTTTTTCTAACAGTTTTTGTTTGAGTGTTTTCTTGGAGTGTCCTCATGCTACCAATCGAAGGTAAAACACTTTTAAGCTGACTTGCCGAAATTTCCTGTGAAGCACAATTCGTTGTTTCTGGCTGCTTGGAAAACACAAATAAAATCTAGAAGTTGTGATCTTGTATATTTACTCCTGCAAAGTATTGTATCCTACAGGGATTTTTAGGAATATAAAACAGGAGTACGATACTGTACACTACATGATTAACAAGGGTTTGGCTTCATCATGATTTTAGTTTTTGTTTAAAAGGAGGCCTGAGAGCAGTTTGCCCAGTGCTCKCTGATGTGCAGCACCTCACTGTGTTTGCAATACTCCGTTTTTGTTGATTTCAGGTATAAATGAGGAAGGTGACCTTTGAGAGTGCAAGCAGAGATGTGTTCTCAAGAGGGGAGATTTCAAGTGTGCATTAAAAAATACCCTTCTGTAAAAGTGTCCTGGCACTTCTCTTTTTTTTACATGCGGTGTTACAGTAGTGTTGCTGAGCAGCAGGAATGAGTGGTTCCTAAAAAAAATCGTAAAATTTCGATTTCAGGAGTTTGCATGAGAGATCCTTTTGGAGGCTCGACTACAAAAGCAGGATTGGAGCTAATTCTACAAGTGTTATGTTTAGTAATTTAAAGGAAATTTCCCCAGCCAGCCTGTGTGTTCCTCTGTTCTGAAGCTCTCTGACAGCTGATTAAAACCCAAGCGGAGGGCGAGATGGGAACTTTTCAACCAGAACTGACCTGAAATGATTATTAGTTCCAAGTTAATGAGGAGCCATCCACTGCATTTTGATTCCACCTGAATAATCTGCAGTTGATTTTATGTATTCATGCTCCTGGTCAGCTGTCCTGCAAACTGGAAATCAATATGTGTATATCCCAGGCGGGGAGAGGGTTGAGATGCTCAGTTCAGTGTGCAAATCCTTTTGTTTTATTGGCTGGAGAACAGCAAGAGATGCAGAAAGCTGTAATCTGTACCTGGAGTTACCTTGAAGATGGTGCCTTCCATTGTGGCCCTTGAGGGGATGATCGTATTGCTTCAGTTCCTGCAACATGTTGATGAATGAAATAACATRGTGAATAGTTTTGTGAGTGTTCTACATTAAAGTAAGTATTTCTGGGATGCCTGAGGAGAACATCTCCTTCAGAGCTCAAGTTTCCTATAAATGAGGGATTTGGCAGTAACACTGCTCTGTTCTAATTGAAGATACGAGTGCAAACATCACCCAGCCTTTCTTCAGCTTAGTGCACGTGTGAATGTAGAAAAAAATCTGACAAGTTCAGCATGTTAATATGTGTAGGTACGTCAAGGTTGAGACCATTCTTTACCCCACAATGTTCCTTGTCCCTCTAAGGAGCTATTAACTATAAGCACCAAAAGTACCCTTGCTTGGGAAATTGCCTTGGTGTATTCAGTGGGCCTGGGGATTTGACTGTATCTTTCTTAAGAAGTTTTATTCCTAGTGTGCAAATGGCTCTGAAAGTGTTAGGACCAGCCCTGTAGTAGGTTGAATTTGCAAGGCGTCTTTTTACTTCAAAATTCATCAGTTCTAGCCAAAACTTGGATTGTCATCTGTCTCTCTGTCTCTCTCTCAAAAAAAAAAAAAAAAAAAAAAAAAAAAAAAAAATCTTCCAACTTCCATTTATTTACAACTACTAACCTTTCAAATTGAAATATCTTTTAAAACAAATTTTAGCTGTTACACAATTGTACATAATACACACAGTTGTCTACCTGAAATAACATGAGTGAAAGGTGGATGCACAGAAGACGTACTCAGGGGTATTGTGAAGCACCCGGTATTCTCTTTACATTTTAACTGAGATCTGAGAACAGGCACAGAGGCAAGTATTTGGATTTTCGGTGCAGAGGGACTAGTGAAGACTTTGGCAATACGCTGGACTTTTGTTAGCAAAACTTAAAAAAATTAAAAAAAAAAAAAAGGAAAAAAAAAAAGAAAACTGCTGGAGGATGGGACAGAGCCTGTTCTGCTTGGATTTTGAACAGAGCACGGAGAGAGCCGGGGCGTGCGGGTTGTTCTGCGGCCTCCTTTGCTGTATGTATCCCTGGGGGAGATCCTGCCCAGCTAGCAGCTTATCGAGGTGGGGCTTTGCCGCGGAATTGGGAACAACTTGGGTTTAGATGGTTGAAACGGCAGGAAGGCGCCGGGCGGCACSGCGAGGCCTGGGTGGCCGGTGAGCGGCGGTGCAGGCCCGCGGAGCGGCTCCGCCGGGGACGGCTCCGGGAAAGGCGGCCGCCAAACTCCCGCGTCCAGCGCGCGCGGCTCGGTGCCCGTGCCGGGGAGCTGCTCTGCTGCCTCCGGGCGGCAGCAGCCTCCTTAGCTCAGCTCTGTCCCCCTCATCACACACAGGGCTTCAGACCTCCCTCGGCTGCTCCTTTGCACTCTCCTGTTTTCACCTGCYGGTCTTTCATTTCTGGTACTTTTCCCTCCTGGGCATTTGCCCTGTGCAGTGCCTTTTTCTGCCTTTTGGTGACATTTCTTCCAGCCTGCTCCCCAAGCCAAGTAAGCGGACTTTCTTCAGCATCTTACTGCAGAAACTTGCTTCAGTGATGACCTGCACAAGCTATAAAACCGGTTTTTGTTACAACTGGTGGAAAATCTTTCTGCTTGTGTCTCAGAGACCACGTGCACCTCAGACACTGCGTTACTGTGGAGAGCCGGGGTTGACYGGGAGCTGGGTCCGGGATGGAGCAGGGAGAGGGGAATGAGCTGCAGGAGGCTGTGGTCCATGTGAGACAGGGCTGTAACGTATCCAGGGTAGCAGGTAAACCAGCAAACTCTCAAGTTGAGATTGTGTCCTGCTTGGCTATAAACAAAAGATAATGTGATATCTACCTGTAGCGGCTTGGATTTTTCTTTGTCTTCCATAATGAATATCATTCAAGAAATGTTGGCCTGCACCTCGCTGTTGCCCACGCTTACAGCATTGGCCTTCCCTTCTGCTTGGGGAAAAGCAGCAGCAATTTCCTCATTTTCATCGGCCTCCCCAGCCCTTTTCAGTCCTACCCAGTGTGGGCCAAGGGTGCCCTGGTGCTGCGCTGTAGGAAGGGTGATCCATGGTGTGGTGACGCAGGGCAGAGCAAGCGGGGAGGCACAGGAGCAGGCTGCTCAAGGCTTGGAGCAGAGGGACAGCTTAGAATAAAGCAGGCTGAGCTGACAAACCTCGGCAAATATCGCCCTCTCTGCAGGCTGCGATTTCGTGTCTCGCTGGGAAGATCATGCGTTGGGTCTAAAATTACCGCTGCTCATAGCACGTAGTCACGGTGCCAGCAGACTGCAGCGTGCCGCAGGGAATGGGCGAGGGAGCCCGCAGCAGGAGCGGATGGATCTCCAGGCGTCCTGTGAGGACAGCATGTAGCCCAGAATTTAAGTTTTAAGATGTTCCCAACAAATCCATGGAACAGCTCGTGAGGGAAGGTGCAGCCTTTGCTCCTGAGCAGTATGCAAGACCCGATTCAAAACACTCCAGCTGGAAAGCCCATCTGTGGCAGTGATTAATGTACTTAATACCCTCCCGTGTAGGAGCAGCAAAAGCTAAAGAATCTGCCACAGCTGGGCCTAAAGAACTGAAATTATTGTAGAAGCTGTTGAAGAAAAAGCAAAAAAGGGTCAACTGGCAGAAGAGAGTCTTCACAGTTGGTGTACTCTGCACACCTGCACCATTTGGGAAGGATTCACTAGGTGTATTCTAACACCAAACAGCATCGAAAAGAGGCAAGGGAGCTAGTGTGACTGGAGAGCAAAAAGGGTCTTGAAATGTGCAAATGAAGAAGGTAGTAATGATGAAACAAGGTGGAATGGGAGAACAGGCTAAGAAGAATGAAGAAAGTTTAAGGAGCAACTGCTGAAAGTCACAGAAACTCATTTAAACCTTCAAGTGTCTCTTGAACAGGTAGGCTACCCAGGCTCTGTCATCAGCTGGAGAAGATGAGGCCACCTCAACGAAATCCTTGCATTCGCTAGGAAAGGACCTGGGAGCGTGTTCAGGAACTCCCTTTTGCTGCACCTAGAGGTGGCTTTGGGGAGTTGACAGGAGACTAGATGTGATGCCTACATCACATAGACGTGCTGCCTACAAATTTGGCAAATGCCAGTTTTTGAAACCTTTAGGAGAGAGCTGGGCAATTATGGACCAGTAGGACTGACGTCGAGGGCGAATACTCAAGAGTGAAATTAATAGCCGTGCAAGTGAATGTGGTGCACTGGGCAAGAGTCAATGCTGCTATGGTGAAGGTACATCCTGTACTATGAACCTGTTGCCATTTCCATGCAGGGAGGGATCGCTTAGGTAATTTGCTATCACCTCTACCGTGTTACTCTTTAAAGCTTAATAGTGAGGGAGTTTGTCAGTGGAAAAGGTAACAAGACAGTAACGTAAGTTTGGTGTATACATTCCTGCCTTTTCTCTCTAAAAGTGTTTCTTTTAAGCTGAGCAACCCAGTAAAGGGCAGTAACATTCTGGAAGTACCTGAAAATGGGAAATGACATGTTGAAGACCTAAAAACAGTTTCCCATAATGACTAACGTGCCAGCTCCTCAGTGCCATGGTCAGTCTCCCAGGAGGAAGGCAAACACTGCCAAGCTCCTGGAGGGAGACCCCGTCTTTGCTTGGCKGATGTGAAGAGCCGAGCGCAGTGGAGTTGGCTCTGCAGAGCCCCTCGGTTGTCTCCATGGAGACTGGGAGCTCTCACGGGATCCATTTGGAGGGAATTTCTTCTTCCTCTGCACAGCCTCCACGGAAAGCAACGCACGG